ATAGAGTATTATAACTAATAGAAGAACTTCTACATGAGTTGACGATGATGAAAAGTGAATTGTCTCACCAATAATATTATCTTCTCATGAATTATATTAAGAGTGGACGTACGAGTCATCGACCTCCACTTATGTCTCACGACTCTCAGGACTCTCATTCTAGCATGTACATCCGAGGAGTATACTAGTATGTATTTCTCAGGAGTCTCATTCTAGTATATAAGTATGTATTTCTCAGGAGCATCGTAGTATGTACATCTAAGGAGCATCGTAGTATGTATTTCTCAGGGCGATTATTCACTCCTTCACTCATTCACTCATGAGTATCGTAGTATGTACATCTCAGGAGCAGCTCTCCCTTACTAGGAAACCTTTTGCATAAAACTAGGGAAACTGGAGTCGTTTCCTTCTTATTCCTTGCTGTAGAAAATAACTTCTCGCGATTTTTTTATCCAACAACCATCTCTAGAAAGGGTCATCATCTTGGGTGAAAGCTCTAAGAGCATAGCAGACAGTCAGGGTGTGAAAGATGCTGTCAACGCGCTGGCGGGTGCATTGAAGGGCACTGGTGGTGAAGGTGAAGATACTGATGGTGTAGGTAAAGGTAGTGGTAAAGGAGGTGGTGGTAAAGGAGGTGGTGGTAAAGGAGGTGATGGTAAAGGAGGTGATGGTAGAGGAGGTGATGGTAGAGGAGGTGATGGTGACGGTGGGGATGGTAAAGGAGGCCAACAGGGTAAAGGAGGTGATGGCAAAGGAGGCGATGGTGGTGGTGGTAAAGGAGGTCATGATGGTGGTGGTGGTAAAGGAGGTCATGATGGTGGTGGTGGTAAAGGAGGTCATGATGGTGGTGGTGGTAAAGGAGGTCATGATGGTGGTGGTGGTAAAGGAGGTCATGATGGTGGTGGTGGTAAAGGAGGTCATGATGGTGGTGGTGGTAAAGGAGGTCATGATGGTAGAGGAGGTGATGGTAAAGGAGGTGATGGTGAAGGAGGTGGTGATGGTGGTGGCGGTCGAAGTGGAGCCGAAGCCGATGCCGCTGCCGCTGCAGCTGCCGAAGAAGAAGCCAAAGCCAAGCTAGAAATAGAAGGCAATCTAGAAGAAGAAGCAGAAGCCAAGCAAAGAGAACCAGAAGGTCCACAAGGTCCAGAAGGTCCAGAAGGTCCACAAGGTCCACAACCAGAAGATTCACAAGATCCACAAACACCACGACCAGATCCACCACGTCCACAAACACCACGACCACAAACACCACGACCACAACCACAACGACAACCACAACCACAACCACAACCACAACCACAACCACAACCACAACCACAACCACAACCACAACCACAACCACAACCACAACCAGACCCGGCAGACCCTGTTACGGCTTGATGGTTTGTTCTTTGCTTTATATCAGTTGCAAACTTATTGCCATCGAGTAGAAGAGCGAGAGGTCTCTGCATGGGTTTTGTACTGAGTGTAGTGAAATTTCGTCTACAACAAATCACTCAGATGGCAGTTTTGGTTTTTTTTGAAACCACGCATTTCTAGTATATAAGAAAGCCCACCGATGCAGGACAAGTATAGACACGTGGATAAGACGATGGAAAAGTGAATAAAATGCACGGCTATTTCGGTCTCTCGTGGTTAGTCTGAAAAAACAAATGAAAAGAAAAGAGTTTCATTAGACCGTCATTTACTCCGCAGGCCTATGAACATGACCACCAAGGTTAATCTTCAACGCATACAGATGCTCAACATTGAACAGGACGCTTCTAATCATGAAGATGCGTCCGGTCCACAAGGTTCTGAACAAGACCCGGCGTTAGCGGTTCTAGGCCGAGATGCTACACTCGCGGGTCGGGTGGTCGATGCTCTGGCCGCGTTTATGGGAAAAGGTGAGGCTGATAAGTATCCAGGAAAAACTCTTGTCACCAACGCTGTCTTGGCGATGGATCCGCGTGCACGGGTAAAAGACACAGATGACGTCTACACGATTATCAAGGTACTACAATTATATTACGTGTAGATACTGTTGGACTACAATTATACTACTGTTGGAAGTTCTACTTACAAAGTCCAACAATTATACTGTTGGATTACAAATACTAGAAGATGCTGTACGAAGTACAATTACACAAGAGCAAGAACTAGTTAGACTACAACTATACTGCACTACAAAAACAATTGTGCTATAAGTTATTCCTTACTAGTACCCTATAGTATCTTTTACTTCTCTTCACTATCCATTTTTTTATAATCACCTTTAGGTACTCGTACTTGTGGTGTCCGTTTAGTCACTATGACAACTATGACTTTTAGGTACTTATGGTATCCGCGAGAGCCAGTTTCGAGAAGAGCCGGTCGGGCTCCGCGTTTCTGGACAAAATGATATGGATGGAGGACAGAGGATCCCTACAAAAACGAACTATAGAGATTCAATGCAAAAACGAACTATAGATGGAGGATAGAGATTCAATAAAAAAGCGCACTCAGCCGCTTCTACTCGGGTTGAAGCTCTTCAGTAGCCGCCGATGTCCGCCTACGCTCACCAAACCTCTAACCTAATCTATATATAACCTAATCTTTCTACTCGAGTTGAAAATCCTCGTTATCATAACCTTAAAACACACATCTTCGAAGTAGACCTCTTTTTAGTATCCAAGAGCAGCATCTAGATAAGTAGCAACTCTCTAAAAAAGCGAATCATTTCGATGGATTACTTGTTGGCTCAACTTGCGAGCGGCAACGTGGACGAGCTCCGAAAGGTACTGATGTCAACATGTGAAAGTACTTACGTGAAGACCTAAAGGTACGGATGTCAAGATGTTAAGGTACTTATGTCAAGATGTGAAAGTACTTATGTGAAGACCTAAAGGTACGGATGTCAAGATGTTGAGGTTCTTATTCTTAACGCACTTATGTGCACGACATCTTATTCTTGAGGTACTTATGTGAAGGTCTGAAGATAGTTATTTGGAGAACTTAAGGCACTTATGTGAAGAGCTTAAGGCACTTTCTTGTAAGTGAAGATCTTCCGGCACTTCTGTGGTCTTAACCCTTATAGTGTTCTGAGTGTCTTGACTTCGGTCACGCTCACTGCCAACTTCGTCTCCTAGCAACTTCGTCAATCAATCACATTGTTCAAAGACACGACTGAGACTATTCGAATGGAGACTCACATTGTTCAGACAAACACTAACACTCTTTAGCTCACGGTTGAACCACAATCCACGCTGACACCAGTCATCCACACTGACACCAGTCATCCACACTGACACTAGTCATACACACTGACACTAGTCATCCACACTGACACGTTTCGACTGACCTATATGGTCTGAATCACACTCCAGATTTTTGCGGCGTTGATGAATTACTTGCTGGCCTACTTTTCCAACGAAGCGCAAGCTGACACGCAAGCTACGTCCGCTCTGCAGATTCGGCTTAAGGCACTACACGTGTAAGTAGTCTCCCACGTAGGAGTTGGTCCATTTCAGAGTACTTCCGNTCCGAAAGGTACTGATGTCAACATGTGAAAGTACTTACGTGAAGACCTAAAGGTACGGATGTCAAGATGTTAAGGTACTTATGTCAAGATGTGAAAGTACTTATGTGAAGACCTAAAGGTACGGATGTCAAGATGTTGAGGTTCTTATTCTTAACGCACTTATGTGCACGACATCTTATTCTTGAGGTACTTATGTGAAGGTCTGAAGATAGTTATTTGGAGAACTTAAGGCACTTATGTGAAGAGCTTAAGGCACTTTCTTGTAAGTGAAGATCTTCCGGCACTTCTGTGGTCTTAACCCTTATAGTGTTCTGAGTGTCTTGACTTCGGTCACGCTCACTGCCAACTTCGTCTCCTAGCAACTTCGTCAATCAATCACATTGTTCAAAGACACGACTGAGACTATTCGAATGGAGACTCACATTGTTCAGACAAACACTAACACTCTTTAGCTCACGGTTGAACCACAATCCACGCTGACACCAGTCATCCACACTGACACCAGTCATCCACACTGACACTAGTCATACACACTGACACTAGTCATCCACACTGACACGTTTCGACTGACCTATATGGTCTGAATCACACTCCAGATTTTTGCGGCGTTGATGAATTACTTGCTGGCCTACTTTTCCAACGAAGCGCAAGCTGACACGCAAGCTACGTCCGCTCTGCAGATTCGGCTTAAGGCACTACACGTGTAAGTAGTCTCCCACGTAGGAGTTGGTCCATTTCAGAGTACTTCCGAAGGAGAAGAACTAGATGCGCGACAATTGAGGTTACCTCTTGCCAGAGGCTACTAGCATAGAGGGAGTTGAAGGTACTTACTAGGAAGTAGTCGCTGTGAGCGTCCACCTATCCGTAACATTCGTAACTAATAACTCTAATCTAAGGTAGTTATCATTTAGCTATTATCATGAGCTAATGACTAATAACTTAATGACCTAGCCGCGATGCAGTGGACCCTCAACCTTAAGCTCAACCTTAACCTAATGACCTAGCTACAACTAGCAATGATTGACGACAGAAGAAGCAGCGACCGCTCTAAACCTGGAACCGGAGAGAAGGTCAACATTGCGACGCACGTAACAGTCAGCAAGGGTGTCCCGACTGTGGTGGGAAAAGTGACTTATGAACGTACTGGAGCAGCCCTATCTTACATCACGAGTAGTGAAGATCCTTGTCTTCTCTACCCTGGTAATGTACAGCAAATACGCAATGAATCCTGGTTTTTTTTACCTTGTGAGATTGATTAAGTGAGTCCTGGTTTTTTTACCTTGTGAGATTAGTTAAGTGAGTCCTGGTTTTTTTTACCTTGTGAGATCGAGTGAGTCCTTGTTTCTAATTTTCTATGGAGCGATCGCTATCGCAAGCCCTTGCGGAATTCACGGGCAACTCGAAAAGTTACGCTGAACAATCAGAAATCTCCATTTGACACTTATCCAACGATGCATGACAAACCACCAATTATAAACTAGTAAATTACTTGTACTAGGTTCTTACTCCTTGCTACTAGGTTCTTCTTGTTAGGACACTTCTGCTCCTTGCTCTAGGTTCTTACGTCAAAGAAGTAGACCCACCTAGGGAGATAGGATGGCCCTTCCATAGTTTCTTTGGAGATAGGGTGCCCCTTTCATTATAGTATCCATAGTGGGGATAAGGTGGCCCGTTCATTATACATAGTAACTATGTAATAATGTCTCTGAGGCGGGTAGGTTGAACTGCGAAATCTAAGAAGCGCCCTTTCTCGGTTGGCTAATCCAGTGGTCGAAAGCAGTCTGTCGCTATAATAAGCATGTACTTACTAACAAAACATTGTGTTTGTAATTAGGGAAGTGGGGACTTTTCATCATGACATTCTAATGGGTACACTCATTCACTCAAGCAAAAATGAGATTTTTGGAAAACTTGCATGAACAGCAGCAAGATGATATCTGACAGACCTCAGTCACGTGAAGTACACCCTTTCTAACGCTGATGAAAAGTTAGAGACTGACGTGCACAACAAATCATGTCTGGTCATCTTGCATCTATTCAAAAGGAGTTGCATCTGGTGGCTATCATCTTAGTGACAGACTCCATATTTCTTTACATCATATATATCAGGCCGACCAGGATGCAGATTTACACGATGCGGTGCAGCAGCAGATTGACGAATTTGTTCGAGATGCAAAGTTTGAAAATTATGCCACATTTAATCCGTTCTCTTTGTTAGAAAGTCTTCTGTCCTTTGCATATTTTTTATAGGATACAGTACTCGACTGATTCTCCTAGCGTCCCATGATATTCACAGTCCCTATGCTCCCATGATGTTCGCAATTCCCGTATCCCATCCTGAGAGTTCCTTTTTCCTTTGTATACGGACAATTCCGGTATCTTCCTGGCTATGCTCACAATTTCTAAGAGATGACGAAGAAGGCTTTCAAGGACTTCGTTGACAACGAGCAATCCTGGTCTGCGCTGAGACAGATGTGGTTTGTTTTAAGGCTACTTCAGGGTTGCGTGGACTTCACGACTAGGTGGGTTCATCAATAAGCGAATGTACCTAAAGTTTAGTTGTAGTTTAGTTACAAGCTAATGATATGACAACACTCCGTTGTCAGAGAAGTGGAATTAGAGAAACCATGGAATTCGTAAACGAGCTGCTCTCAATACTAAGATTTTGTTCCTTTTAAGTGGATCCATTCCTATCCATTCCTGTTCTATTCTATCCTAAAGATGCGCTAATTCACCACGGTGGCAGAGATCTGTTTTGCAGGCACTTGACGAGGAATGGTGGTGGAGGAGCTTCAGGTCCGCCAATGCTGAGCGCCAGCTCGTCCTTTTACGACGAATTTGTCACTATTTACTGGTTTCATGACATGAAGACATGAGGAACCATGTAACTTTTGGAAGTGTATTTTCGACAAGATTAAGCATCTATTACTGGTGCATCTTCTAGAAACAGACAGTGTACTAGGCGTGACTACTCCTACAAACTGCTACGACTACTGCTATGCTTTTTAGTACCGATGCAAATTTTTTGAAATTGAGCCAGGACCTTATGAATGCATGTTGTGTTTTCTAGCTACTTCAAGAACAGGGTTAGTAGTTGTGGTTCTGCCTTAGTAGTGGTTCTACCTGTATGCCAGTAGGTTCATTGGTACTATCACCCTCACCTGTCTAAGCCTTCGTCTCTCTCGGTGGGTCGATGCTGACGGCAGCAAACAGCCTAGCGGCAAGTCCCATTGCCAGTTATGGTTACGTTTACAAATTTGAAAAATCTAGGCTACGTAACGCCAGAACTGCTTAGGGCATGACAGACTCACCGGAGAATACAGGTTTATTCTGGGGAAGGTGAGTTGACTCCTATCCTTTCCCATCTTATCCGATCCTATCCTATCCTTTCCTATGGTCCGGTCCTATGCTATCCTATCTGAAAATCCATGAGTGAACATTAACAGTAACAAGTGAAGAGCAATTTTGAACTATGAGAAAGTATAACTTAATGTTGGGGTCAAGGGGTTGTAAGTAATCAATTAGTCACAAGTGATCAAGGAAAATAGTGGCAGCGTAGCTTTTCTACAATCGACAACGCCTTTTATCTTTTCTCCTCATCTGTCTATTTTTCTTGGGTTTTGAGTAAAACGACACCTCGACAAAAATGTCATACTCTATTCTCAGTAAAGCATCTTCGTAGTTCTGCAGGTAGTGCTTGAAATTGATGCCCCCCTCTGCAATTTTTTGGACATACCCCTAGACTGGGTTTACTACTATTCTTCGTACACCGAATTCTCAACACGACAGATAGATCCCTTTCGATTTCGTCTAAACATCAGCGTCATCTTCGTTTGTGCAAACTCTCCCTGATGGTGGGGAGGCGCAGGAGGTGGCGGCCCAGGAGGCGGCGACGGAGGAGGAGGAGGAGGCGCAGGAGGAGGTGGAGGCGCCGCAGCCGGAGGCGCCGGAGAAGGCGTCGGCACTGACAGAGACTACGGCGACAATTGGCAAGGCGAAAGAGGTGTGGGGTAGGAGTTATGAGTACAAGTGTTTGTCTATCTCCTTCTCTAAAAAAGCTTCTCCATTTACAGCATTTTTGACTACGAAAATGAAACAAGACCTTTGAGGTAGAAAGAAGGCACTGCTACTTCTTTTTTTCTTTTTAGACTAAGCAGCTTAGGGCACCCCTTTTGTTAGCCTTACAAGTAAGAAAAACGATGATTGAAGAAGCACTCGAAGCAGGCGCCCCGTCCTTAGAGTCACTAAATCACAATGCGCCAGTATATCAGACACTCTGCGTTCTCCTTGATACCAACTTATTGAGTTCTTCGCACCAGGAAAATGAAGACCTTGAGCTTGAACTTCTTTTGGCTTAGTTAAGCCTATAGTGGAGGGAGTGAAAGAACATACCTGCTGATATCTAGATAACATTAAGCCTATAGTGGAGGGAGTGAAAGAACATACCTGCTGATGTAAAGATAACATTAAGCCTATAGTGGAGGGAGTGAAAGAACATACCTGCTGATGTAAAGATTACTTCTGTTTGTTGCTCTAAACCAATCAGCCGCAGGAGAGGGAGACAATGGCAAAAGCGATCAACGATCTTTTTTTAGGGCATGATGAGTCAAAAGGCATGGCAACGGCAGAGAACTTTGACGTACTAACTTAGTGACTCTTCTTGCACACGCCTTCTAACGAAGATTATTCTAGGAGAGCTATATTGTGGGTGATTCAATGCAGACTTCTCACGAAGGTTCTACTAGTAGTAGGAGTACTAGTAGTAGGAGTACTAGTAGTAGTAGTTAACCCGTTCGATCTCTCTGCATCACAGGAAAACATCAAGTTGATCGCGGAAAAGTTAATTGCAATGGAGGCAACGAAATTGATCGCGGTGCGGATGTTGTCCCGAGGATTCGATGCCGCGCGTGGAAATGACTTTGTGAAAATGGCTCAGGTATTTCTCTAGCTTTGTGGAAATAACTTTGTGAAAATGGATTACATACTTCTATCCAACTATTAATATCGAGTTCTTGTTAGATATTATAGAGTTGTTGTTAGATATTATCGATGATAATAATAATAATGATTACATGTTTTTCTCACATAATGATTAAAGCAAGGCCTCATCCTTCTTTCTCAAGCCTGAATCATTCTAGCACTTACCTCACGCTTTACTCGTTCTTACACTCTATTTATTTGTTTGATATTGATTCCTACTATATCATCTCATCGTCGGTGGAGTAGGTTTTTTGACCCTCTAACAAGGTTAACAAGGTTATTTGACAAAGGGTGAACAACAAGCAAAGGACTGCATCAACCCACCATCAAGCTAGACAAATTCTAACCTATAGTGACGAAGTTGAAGATCCTCCTGGTTTTCACTATGAAGTAGTGTTTGTGAACACTGGAGTGACATGACATTACTAGGATCATCATCTTGATCTTCTTCATCTTCTTATTTCTGTCATTTGCAGAACAGGGGAACTGGATCAAGTAGCACACCATGAAGAAGCTGAAGGGTGACCCATAGTGCTGAAGATCCACCTTTTGCACTACAAGAACTCTATGTATCCACCTTTCGGACCTCTTTCGAATGGTCTCAAAGATGATTTGGCAGTTAATATAAGTTGGACAAATAGTAGTAACTCGACGCTTCGACTGCAGACGAAAACTTTTCTATCAGGAATTTTTCAACGCACTTGGGGCGGCATATGGTGGAGTTACGGCAAGAGAGGGAGTCCTTAACAATAGCCTAACATTATTGTTGTGCAACTTCTTGTGGACTTGACCCCCTGATTGGGTTTCCTACTACTACTAATGCTACTAAGTTGTATCCGGTAGCCCCTATACCTCAAGAATAGGCAATTCAGTCAATCACTCAACAAGGGGCATACATGAGAGACCGGCTAACGAGAAACTGAGCAAGCTTGTCGATAAAGAACAAGCTTAACTTCATCGAAGACATGCAAAATGAGACAACTAGGAGATCTCTCTTCAAACTAGCCAAGACATCTTTCGTGAAGCCACGCTATATCTACAACTAGAAGATCCTTCTTCAAACTAGCATATACGTGGAGCCAAGACATCTTTCGTGAAGCCACGCTATATCTACAAAAACTAGGATATTCTCTTTCTTCAAGCTAGCCTATATCTTCTACAACAAGCCTATATCTCGCAGGGCCTATATTTTCTACAACTTTCTGGGAGGTAGAGCAGATTCTTCAGACTAGCTCTAAGAATCAAGCGAATTCTGTGCGCGATGGAGGTGCTTCGGAGCCTTTTAGCCTGAATGGCAGGCGCCCCCAGCCCATGACTTATGGTCTCACGTATAACAGCTTGTTTTTCTCCATGCCTTATCGCTCTATCGACAGCAGCTGTTGTACTAGATTCATTACGTAGTTCTACTTAACAGCAGCTGTTGTTGTACAAGTAGATTGGTTCTTACATTCTGCATTGAACAGCTGCTGTTGTACTAGTAGTAGATTGGTTCTTACATTCTGCATTGAACAGCTGCTGTTGTACAACTAGGCTCACTACGCTCTCTTGAACAGCAGCTGTTGTACTAGATCGATTACAGTCTGTATTGAACAGCAACAGAAGGGGCAGGGGACTCCATACTAGATCCAACTGGAGTAGATTGTGCTAGACTTACATCTGCAGCTAGGCAGTTGGAGTGGATCCTTGGCTAATATCTTGCGAACTACAGCGTAGCTTTTTTACAATGGAATTTACTTTTTTTTCCTTTCTCTCTTCATCTTCTCTTTTTCCACCTCCTCATCGATGGCGTGATGTCAATAATGGCCTACCACACCGTAAGAGTGAAAGAATTCTCACTACTGATTGTTCAAGCAATCAGTCAATTCTCACTACTTATTGTTCAAGCAATCAGTCAAGGAGTCAGTTCCTCAATGATAAAAACCCGCTATAGTCGTCCGCGTTCGTCCATCTGCTATTCAAGATGGAGTCCTTCCTATCCTATCCTATCCTAGCCCCTCTTATCCTAGCCCCTCTTATCCTATCCCCTCCTATTCCATCCGATCCTATCTCCTCCTATATCCTATCCTATCTCCTCCTATCCCTTGGCTGAGGACGAAGGTCTGTATCCTATCCTATCGCCTCCGATCCTTTCCTATCCTTTCCTATCCTATCCTATCCTATCCTATCCTATCCTATCGCCTCCGATCCTATCCTGTCCTATCTACTTATCCAGTCCTATCCTATCCCTTGGCCGAGGACAAGGATCCGTAGTAGATATCCTCTCCGACAAAGATCTGCATCCTGTCCTATCCTATCCGGGCTACAAACTCTCTCTAATCGCAGTTCAAAGCTGGAGTTAGTAGACAGGGACACCTCAGTTTTTCGTCACATCTGAAGAATGACCCCAATTCGCTTTTCGACCTGCAGATGGACATCATTAAGGCAACGAACTGAGCTGCTGATGCTGAACTGACGAGTATTAATCTGATACTGACTCGAGTAGGCACGACCGCTGTGACACGGCCCAAAAGCCCGACTAATCGGGCCGCCGACGTCGCCCACTGATTGACTCTTGACTTGATGAATCTGACGAATGGACGACTCAGCAACGAATGGATGACTTCTGAGTGGGTTATCGAGTGAGTGACTGAATGACTCGCAGAGTCTAATATCTTGTATCATTTAAACTGGATTACCGAGTCTAGTTTTTGTTTTTGGCTCTTCGGTAACCAACCATGTCTACATCTAGTGAACCAGGTAAACCAACACCTATGTGAACGTATAAGATCACTCACCGAATAAAATAGGTGCGTGATCTCTATAGCGACGAACCTACTGGAACTATTTGAACCGAGTCTAGTATGAAGATCATTTGGAATACTACGTTACATGTAAATTAAGTTATATGTCGCTCAAGCGTCAAGAGATACCTCCAGAACAGGTAAATGAATGAATGAATGAAATATCCAACTGTGGTTGATATATTTGGAATTCCGACTACAGCACTCACCCTCTAATATAAAAATCGGGGACGGCAAGATGGGCAGCATCTGGAGAACATTCAAGGCGGTCACGCACCAGGAGTTGCCGGGGTATCGCTATCTCTTGATGTAGACACATCCAGTATCTACTATTTACTGATGAAAAATCTCGGGAGTGTTGCTATTTCTCTACGATTTACTATTGATCTACGTGATGATTTTACTGCGGGAGTATCGCTAACGACTATCTACGATCTCACTCAATAGTGCTACATCACATGATTGATCATTTTCAGTAATTTAAATTTTCAGTAAAAATTCATCTTCATCGAGAGTAATTCTTCTCAACAGTGGCGACGAAATGAATAAGTTTGACCTGTTGGAGTTCCTCGTATACTCCGCGCACCAGATTTGCCCCTCAAATTAGGACTACGAAGTTTTTCCACGGTTCCTATATCCGGTATTGGATTTTTTGTATCGTTGCAGGTATGTTTATTTATTTTTATACTTTTTTCATCCTTTGTCTCTTGGCCAGTTTTTTTGGATCTACCTTTTTCATCCTCATGTAAATTTGGCGTACTCAGTTGTCCATCTCTTGTAACATGAAGCGACTTACCTTTTTTCTTTTATCGTAATCAAAGAGAACTCAGGGACTTAGCTGTACTACCTATCGATTAGCAAACTACTACCTGGAAAAGAGTTTCCCTTTCTTATAACAACTACCTAGGATTAAGGGCTAGGGCTCCCACATTGGATCCCGCAATACCCTTCTTATGATTTGATATTTCCTGAGAATAGAAAAGTAGAAGGCAGCGATGTTCTGAAGAATGCAATGGCGTAGCCTGGAAGTAGCAAACAGGACCTCCTTTGTTCGAATTTCTTTTATATTGATGTTGGCATATACTATTATGCATTTAGTACAGTATAGTAGCTTACTTCTTCACAATCATACATACTTCTAGTTGCTTCATCTAGTTGCGATAGCAATATGGCAGGTTCTTGTACTCGGGCGTCATCCTCCTGCTTGCCAAAGCACTAGCTTCGTTCTATTTATATATAGTAAGCACAAACTCCTTCATTGGGATTATCCTCCTTTCATCTTGTCTTCTGCTTTCTTCTTCCGCTTAGCTCTCTTCTACGGTGAGGCCTCGGGTGGCAGAAGTGTAGATCTAATTAGTTCTTATCTTTATTGTTTACAACACTATAAGCTACTCCCTTCCCCTCATCCTACTGACATGAGCATTCACATCTGGGGTTACAACTTTTTATCTAATAAGAAGGAAGTGCCAACTTCTTCATTGGGTACAAAGACTACTACGACTATTACTAATACTACTACTACTAATACCACTAATGACTACTACTGTTACTAATACTACTAATAACTACTACTATTACTAATACTACTAATAGCTACTACTTCTGCTCTCCACACTCGTTTCTTCCTATGTATAGTAAGTACCAACTTCTCCTCCATCTCCCTCATCATGAACTGGTAGCTTATAATTCCTAACAACTGGATATTGCTTTCGGTTTTCCCTATCGTAAATAAGTGCCAACTTCTTCATAATTCGAAACAACTGGATATTGCTTTCGTTTCTTCCTATAGTAAGGAGCAACTTCTCCATCTCCCTCATCATGAACTGGTAGCTTCTTCGAAAGATATTACTTGCACATTCCAACTTCTTAGGCATTGGAGGACTGGCATTACGGTGTCAATGTTTATCTCGAATCCCGTACCAAGGCGTACAGAGACAGGTTAAGGCTACATGTAATTCGTCTTTTGGCGCATCCTTGAAAAGTATGGATAAGAGGGCATCTATCTTTTTATTGGTACTATTTATTTCTGTATTTTATTAGAAGGCACTATTTCTATTGCGTACATGAGTGAATGAATGAATGAAAAGGGGTGAAATCCTAGGAGAAATGCCTGCAACTAATTCAAGAAGATGCTACACTCCATGAGTGGGCACATCAGGGCATATTTCTATATTATCAATTTGTATTGGTACAACTATTTATTTCTTTTCTGCGAAACAGTCACACTTTCTTACAAACAAACTTTCAATTAGCAAGGCCTGTGATGATGAGTGTGGTCGCTGCTATCTTGGGTCGTATATGGTCAACTATTCTCGTGCGATACTCTTCAAGGATGCAGTAGAAAGATGAACTTGGAGAGCTCTAAACAAGCAGACGGACCTGGCGAAGGCGAAAGCTGCTTTTAAGGATCACGCGAAAGACGATCATCTCAGAGAAGCGTTCCGACATCTCCTTACCGTGTTCTTATGAGGAGCAAGACTAATATTATAAAGAAGCGTTTTTAATGGATAGCCACGCTGAAACCCCAATTAGGTGGTTATGCCAACGTTCTCGGAGTGCTGTTTTAAGTACTCAAATCCTATGGTCCTATCTCACCCCTAGGCTATGCATTCCGATTCCGAGTCCTATGTATTTTCTCACCCCTAGGCTATGCATTCCGATTCCGAGTCCTATCCTCTTAATACCCCTATGCATAATTCCGAGTCCTATCCTTACAGCCCTATTTTTCATCGACTCTATAATCTACTTATTTGCGGATCATGCTTGCAAATGAGATTCCTCTGTAGTTTCAAAGTCGCTAGTCCTATTGTATTCGGTGACATTTCCGGCAACAGCGCCTTCTCATAGAAGTCCTCCTTTTCTTGAATCCCTTTTGAATTTCAAGTTCGGGCCCAATTCCTAGTATTGAAAATTCCATACTTATACTCCTCTTTCATATGTTTCCTACTTTTCAATCTAGAAGTCTCCTTCTACTTATCAATCTAGAACAAGCCCTACACATTATACTCCTCTTTCATGTAATTTCGGTCATCCTCCGGATCATTCGGCTTATCGGCGCATGAAAATCACGGTGAAGCGCTACATCACAGACGACGGCTTGTGGGAAATGCTGAAAACCGTCCTCGAAAAATACGACATCTTCGGATTGCTCTTTATGATCTCACGAAGCACGTTACAAGCGAAAATAGTATTTCTCGACTTGTCATCATCTAGTGTTTTGCTGTAGAAATTCAGAGTGGAAGTTTAGTAGATTGAGAAGGGAAGATGAGGAGAAAGGAAGAAAGATATGCGAAATCTCAAAATATGCAAGTAAATTCGAGGATAGTCCTTTCCTCGGTCATTTTAGTTTTTCGAATAGACATTCTGCCGATTGCAGAAAAGCTGCGCTGTACCTAGTGGGTAGCGACGAAAGGGCTTACTTCGTATATAAATACAGATGACAACTTTCAACATCTTCTAATACCAGTCAACGAGAAGAAGACCACATAGGTGCAAGCGCGACTCGCGATCAACAGAATATTCCAGCTGTCCCAGCTCCAGGGGGAGGACAAGCACCGAAACCTGGTCGGGCAGATTCTTATGATTTAAGGCTGATTTCCTCACTGTTCATCGTCCTAGACTAGTTCTTATAGGCTAGTTCTTCTATTTGGATTCTGTACCTACATTTAGAAGACCTAGCCTATAAGAACTGGGGATACACTATACCTACATATATGTATGATAGAGCAGTTTATAGCACGCATGGCGCATGGAGTAGCATGGAGCGCAGATCTCTAAGGGACGCAAGAAGCGCCCCCTTTAGCTCCATGCAGCTCCATGCACTCCATGCCATGCGAGCTGGCGAACCTTATAAATTGCTCTGGTAGAAGAACTACGGACATGTATAGAGCTAGGGATCTGTATATGCGGGATACTATACCTACGCATGATATCTTCATAGATTAGCATTTCTTCGTTGGATTCTGATCCTTTCCTTTTTGAATACCAGTCAGTCAATCGAATGTAGAAAAGCTAAGCTCTTGAGAAACTGAAGTTGTGGATGAATTATTGGGAGCTCTAACCTCTACACTGGCTGGGCTACTCGAGGCACATCCTCACCTTGCCGGAAAAGTCCCTTCATCTGATGAAGTAGAGGAACTTGTGGGCTCAGCGGCGCCACCCTTCAACATTTTAAGGATCTCGATACTATTCATCTTTATAGAATAGTACTTCTCCTTTCGTTTCCTTTCACGTGAAAGAATGACGCAAATCCTTCTGCTCAGACTATGGGATTAGAAAGTCACTTGATTAAGCAGTAAGAGTATGACATCAAGACTCTGAAGTTGTGGACGAATTGTTGTGAGCTCTAATCTTCAACAACTTTGATTGGGATTTACACGGGGACACGGTTGTTGACGCATCCTTCCTATCAGGAGTAGGCAACGGAGGTATAGAGGAGGGCCAGCGCAGCGACGGAGTCCAGCCAGACCCGAGGGCTGACGACGACGTCGTACTGGTCTAGAAAACCAGAGTGCACTCGTCCGGAAGGGGTACTATTCCTAGTACTTGATTTGATGATAATATTCAATGTATTTGGTTGCTGCGTTCTTGATATGAAAAAATCAAACTAGGTCTTATTCTTATATAGCATGGACAAGCACGACACATATAACTACATGACTTAAAAACACTCAACCTAAGGTTGACAACCTTATTTGTGATTTACTAAACCTTATTTGATTATACTTAGCGTTGTCACTCTTTGACTCCCTCTCCAGGTTTCCGGCAGTGCTAGTAAGTGGCAATAGTTTTCGGAATTTTTAGTGGATTTTGCAATTGATGCTAGTGGTTTTCACGATTTCTAGCGGTTTGCGCAATTTCTAGTCCTGGTTCCGGAGAATTCTTGGAGGCTTACTTTTCCGAGGTACTAGAGAAGTGGCTTTCGAAGCCACGAGTAGTTTTATTCGGAGACTACTGCTACTTAGCAGGATTTGTCAGGGGTAAGGAGGATGCTTGGCATTTTTTCAGGGGTGAAAGAATTATTATGTCCAGCAGAGCTAGGGAGGATGCTTGGCATTTTTTCAGGGGTGAGATTTTTTCAAGTTGTTGAGGCTCTTTCCTGGGAGAAGGCTTTTCCTTCGAGAAGGGCTCAGAAAGTAGATTCTTAGTGAAGGGCATTTCCTTCGCCTTAAAATCTACATCAGTCTTTGCAGAAAGCAGTGTCTATTGAGTACGTATTCATCCAGCAACAGCAGCACTAGGGAAAGAGCAAACATATTTATCAGAGTAAGCAACTTGAGAAAGGAAGAGGAGACTTATACATAGTATCTATCTATCACAAGAGTATGCAGCTCCAGTCCCACAGGTAGTTGTCCTACAGCTATATCGTCCCACAGGCAGAAGTGATAAGTGAGAGTACAGGTCAACGCAGTTGGCGTAGTGGTTTGCGCGTTGACTTGTGCACTTGTCAGGAAGTCCTACAGCTCGATCGCACAGAATGGGACACGCAGAGAGAAACGAATATGCAACTTCATTACACAGAGATCTCAGCATCAAAGATTTTTCTCAGATTCAATTTACAATCACTACAACATCCTACGAACTTATCAACAAGAGTACTACGATCCACGACGCACAATACTGACTAGTATCTATTATAATGACACAAACTACTTGAACTAAGTTCTTGCACATCAATATCAACGTCCAAATTACACACTTCGCATCGTGAAATCGTGAAAACAAGTATGATCAAAGCAGAGTCTACTAAATAGGTACATCCCTAATTAAAAATATCGATAGAATCCAAACATCGAAGATCGATAACGAATAAAAATCATCTACTCCCAATCTCCCAAATCTTTCATAAGCAATGTCACAGATGGTCCTCGCAGTATGTTGAACAAATTTGAACAGGTATACAAGTTGAATAGGTAAATGCAAAGATATTTAGAGAATATTAGCAAAGAGAATAGTACAACTAGAGCATGAACGTCGCTACAACAATTTATTGTTTCTATCACTATGTTGTCATGAGCCAGTTACTATGGCTATCACTGCACTTAAATAGAATTTATAGGAGGGGTTAAACTCTGTCTCCCGCCCTTCAATCCGGTGCTTGATGCTGAGGCGGAGCTAGAGCTGGAACTTAGTAGTTCTCTCTAACTGATCTCACATCTTGTTTTCGCAACTGTCTAGCGTCTTTCTCAGCACGGCCTACAAGTTTTGTTTGTCTCCGTTCCTCTGGCTGCGCTCTTTCTTTGTCAAAGTAGAAAAGGGAGAAATGACGAAGAAGAAGGACAAATAGTTCTCCCAAATCAACCTCTTGTCAGGCATATCAATCAAGCATTCAATCAGTCTCTCTTGGTAGGTGAATAGGGCTCTCTGCTCTCTCACTACAAGGAAGCTGGGGTGGAACTATTGCTGGAAGCTGCCGCTAAATGTAAAGCAGGTAAGGGGAGGGCAGAAGACATTAGTTGAAGATAGATAAGACTTGGTAGTCCCTCTGTGGCTGCACACATTCGCTCGAGGATACCGGTCAAACTGCGGACGGCGAATCAAATCCTATCCTATCCTAATATCGAGGATGTGCCAGGGCCTTAGCAAGGGGGGGAGAGGCAATGGGACTCTGATTGCGTCAGCAGAGAGAACAGAAGAGGCACATAGTTGCCAGCATTCCATTTGCGTTTAAGGTCTCGTGATTAGAGATTTCATTAGAGTTTTGGATCTGTTAACTATGTGATGTTGGCGGACGTGGATGCGTGTTGGGGTAGCGAGCGGTGAACCTCTAGGAATAGTCAAGGTGTTATGCACGTTCCTCGAGCGGCGAACATCTAGGAATAGTTGTAGTTACAACAAGGTACAAGGCAGCAAAGGCACTTCTAGGCACGTTGGCCGAGTACGTGACCGACTTAGCAGGCGGTAGAACTGGAAGATTTTTGGTTAGAGGATTTGCTCAGTAAATCCGTTGCTTGTGCGCACGATGAGGAAGGCCTCTCTCAACCTGAACGAGGGTAGCGATCATAATTATAGGAGTAAATCTGTAGACGAGCAAGCAGATAGCTTGTGTCTTTCTTAGTTGGTTGCACTTCTCGCCTAGTTCATCTAGTTGGGTCAAAATGATTGCCAACAAGTAGGTCCAACCTTCTAGTCAGGAAGGCTGTAGATATTGAGTCTATGAATGGATTGTACGGCTCTTGTGGCCATCAAACTCAAACAATAGAGGTGTGTACAAACAACGGGCATCGGTATGTAAACGACAGTTATATGTAGAGATGTCTAACATCTTGTCCCGCGATCGATTGTCTCGACCTACATACTATACAGGGTACCAAGAGTAGTCCTATGGGCAACCAAGACTCCTCTTCTAGTATCCTATTCTCGTCTACCATCCTATCCTGGTCTACCATCCTTTCCTACTAGTTGGGATAAGTTCGTTGCATAAGAGTATCTTTGACGGCGCAACCAAGAAAACTAGAGTACTAATTTCTGTGATAAGTAGAGCAAGAGCAATGCTCGCTAGTTGTATCTAGTGTTTTCTGGTTCCTGGTTGTGCACGATATCCCTCCTTTCCTTCTCAGAGCATAAGAACTTGAGTTTAGCACATCGTCCCTATGAATTTCTATTATGGTAGCGTCTGACGCTCTGGATATAGTGTTAGTTCCTGCACTACTCGTAGGATGTAGTTTGAGGCGGTTCCAATTTAGGCAATATGTGCATTTCTATATAGTCTCCCTTGTGCGTTTTTCTGTATTGACAATTATTACAATCATTCGAATTAGTATGATTTCGACACAGTTCATGTTTACAGCAACTCAATCAAGATGAATTAAACGAAGAAATTATACATCCATTTAGAACTTAGTACTAGTAGACGCACGTTTAGAAGTAAGAAGTTGGGATAACATAGCAGCTCAGCTCCCAAATACATTTAGAAGTAGGTTATCACGATCATAGCAGGAGCTGCTGAAGACGCTGCTGACACGAATGAATCACTTTCGAAAAAGTTACAAGAAAGTATTCATCAGAAAGCCATATAAACTTCCAAGAATTTCGATTACGTTCATGAATCCAGAGGACCCAAGGCTGTTGCTCTCCTGTACAGAATATCCAGACTCAAACAGAAAAATATCTCCTGTTGTACAGAAAATCATGGCAGCCGATCCCTTGTATAGAAGAAAGTGCCAAAAAAGGACTCCTGAGCAAAAGGACTTAGATGAAGCAACCAAACTGCGGACCACGATATAATTGTATCCACCTTTCTTACCTGTATATACTGAACAGATTTAGAAGTCCTGAGAATGATGCTACTTCCATTATCCCCCTGTAGAATAAGGTTAGGGTACGAGATTCTTGTATAAATGAAATATCTGTCTAAAAATCTTAATCTAGATGCGACGTGCATCTTCTCTGCTCTCAATTCTGTCGCAGTCAGTGTTGGTAAACGTAGAGTACTATCTACATGCAACTACGAAAGTAAGAGGGTCAGAATCCTGAGAGGGTGAGTTTGAAATTGTCGGAGTCGGGCTGTCTCACAGCAGCAGTTGTTGGTGGCCAAAAGAGGCAGAAGTGGCTAGAAAGAGCATTCAGGAGAGGTTGAGGGACCGTGGCACAGAGATCTTGGCACCCCTGTATCGAGCGGCGTGGCATTGAAAACAGACCTTCTTTAGGAGTGCGGTCCTCCCTCTGTGGCCTCGTTCATCTGCTATTCTAGCTGGGTCTCCTCCTATTTGAGTCAAGTGTTGAGTCAGGCACATCAATCAATCAAATCAGTCAGACCTCTTGCCAGGCACATCAATACCCCTCGAATAGGTACACTACTACTACTAATCAATCAAATCAATCAAGTCCAGTCTGATGTCGATTGTGAAAAAAGCTACGCTGCTAGAAGCTCTGAATGTCATCTCATCCTGTGGACAGGAAGTTTTTCACTGAAATAGTTTTTGCGACTCAAAAAGTATAAGGATGCGGATGAGAGAAGAATGAAGAGGATGTGCTTCCCTTGGTCGTTTCCATTTGTGGCAGGAATTTTTCTGTGTGCTGTGGAAGGCGTTGTGGCTCTCTCTTGGTCCAACCCAGGTGTGGCTTTCTCTTCTACAGCAACTTCTACAGTACGATCACCGCAAGAGCCAAGCGATCCTGCGAACAATAGTACGTCTTCGACGTCTCTTATGGAGATACTTACACAGACGATTTAGATATTATAGATGACGTTGACGACGTACAACATGTAATTGTAAGTTTTAGCTTTAAGGCAGATGATAGACACGGTAACGATGATGCATGTGACTTTTTGTTGTGGCTTATGTACGACGTCACAAGTTGTAGCAAGTTTCAAGCGTTCTTAAGTAAACTATTTTGTGCTAGTAGGGAGATGGAAAAGCCCATTCTTAGCCAGTTCTTTGGTGTTAGCACTTTCAAAGTGTCAAATTTGAAGTAGTGAACTGCAATGCTGCAAATCGTAGAGTACAATATCCTTGATACTTGGTAATAGTATGTAGGACATTTGAGCCTTATCTTAAGAGATTGATACGATTCTGAGAAGATTTTTGATTTTTCTGACATTCGTTGCTAATCGCTTCACTGGATTTAAATTCAATTGAAACAGCATATAATCAAAATTTCTTGGATTCAAAGGAAGATTGAGATTCGAATTGAATTGAGATTTGAATTGGAAACAAAATTGATCATATCGATTGAAAATTGAAACCCAAAGTTCCGCTGTACTATGTCATCCTCCCTAGTATCCTCATCTCCCTAGTATCCTCATCTCCTTAGTATCCTCCTTCTTGCTGATTAAATGTTCAAACTGTCCTCTCTACTCTTTTGATGCAATTTTGTTTGTCGTTGCACATTGGTAGTTACGCTTATTTTAATGCTTACGCTTATTTATCCCTTGGAGCAGGTGGTTCTTCAACCCTCAAGGTAGATGGATCGGGACTGTAGATGGTTCTTCCCTCAACCCTCAAGGTAGATGGTTCTAAAATCGAGCAGTCATGGGACCCTCTGGACATCGCTACTCGCAATATCGGTGCAGGGGACACGCCTGACGAAATTTTTGAGGACTCGGAGACCACTGATCTATTCCCGAATCCTTTGGATTATGGCACAGGGCAATAGCAATCGCACATAGCAATAGCACGTTTACGACGGCTTTGAGCCGAGTTCTGAACGTTAAACTAGCAGCGCAGGCATGCTGACCTATGTGTGAACCTCTAGACTACGTCCGGTCGGAGATACAGGGTCTGCGAACATGATTGGACTTGGAGTAAGTAAAAACATCATCATCATAGTGCCCATATTAAAGATTGGATGTAATTTGGCACATTTAGCTCGCAAAAGATTCCATGTAATTGTAGTAATGCCACGCCATCATCCTCAGAGGCGAGCAGGTGCCGGTGGGGCTCGTTGTGCAGGATCCATAACCTAACCTAACCACGCCGAGTAGATTCGTATCATCATCATGTACATCAGTCACAAAAACAGTCTGCAAAGGAGTCTGTTCCTCTTCATCCTCCCGAGAATGGACGAGCTGCAGAATGCAGCTGCGATTGCTGTTTCGTGCAAAATCACGATTCAGCCACGTTGGATATTGAGTCGGAGCTCAACTTCCCAGCTGGAGGTAAAAGGACACTTAAAAAGGGTTTACTTTTATGATAGATTGGTGTTGAAGATGGTTTTCACTCGTATTATAGTCTAGGGGTTGGTATGCTAGCCAATGATAGACTTCATGGAATGGAAAGTTCTCACTCAGCTGAAGTTGCTCACATGAAGTGACTGCTTGGCCGCTGATGGCTTGAATGAATTTGGCATCCCTTCGAGGATTCACTTGTGAAATTTGAAGAGATCGCAAGCAGAGCGCTGAAGAAAGCATGCGAGTTATAATTTTTTGCCAAAAATTCTAATAACTTCTAGGCAACGAGGACCGCCTTCCGAGGGTGGAAAACAGCCGCCATTTTGTTATGCGTGGTACTAGTTTTTCCCGAAGTTTTTGGATGCATCAGGAAGCTCAGTACAGCTGAGGTTTTTCTTGACATATCATGAGCGTTATAAGTTCTGCTTTGAAACGATATCATCAGGATCATGCTACGTTCTGCTTTGAAACGATACCATCAGGAGCATGCTACGTTCTTTTCTGACAACATGTCATGAGCAATACTTTTACTAAGTTCATCTTCTTATCTTTGACATTTGAATCAACCAAGCAGGATATCGATTTTGATTCTATTCCTTCCTGGTTCTTTCGCAAGTTTTCTTTTTGGCTGAAACCTGGTTCTTTCGCAAGTTCCTTTTGTTTGAAGAAGTACTAAGTCTTTGGTCTTCCTCGGTCAGTATCATTAATTCTACCTGGTTCTAATCAAACGACGTGCTTCCTTCCTCGGTCAGTATCATTAATTCTACAAACAAAACAGACTACTTCATTCTAGTCAACATCATTACTTCTATCATTGTTCTAATCAAACGACGTGCTTCCTGCCTCCTTCCGCACGCAGGGTGGATTCCAGGAAGGTCCAGCTACTTGTGGAGCTGATTACGGCTAAGCCCAAACGTAGTCTATTCTAAAGTAGTGGTATTCTAAACCCCTATAGGTAGTGGTATTTCTATAGGTAGTGGTATTCTAAACCCCTATAGGTATACCAGAAAAGAAAAGGAGAACTGATACTCGCTTCGCGATAGTGGGGTCTTCTAAACCCCGGGAGTGGGTACATTCATGCATTCACTCACTCCCGTGTAATATTTTACTTATCAGCTGTGTGTAATACAACTCAAGCGGCTGATAAGTAATAACTATTACTCAAGCACTGAAGAAGCTTCTGCAGTTTGTGTAATTAAACCCTGACTGTTTACTTACACTCACTGTTTGTGTTTACTTACAGCTCTTTGTGTCTACTTACACTTTCTGTTTGATTACACACAGCTCTTTGTGTAAGAAACCCATCGGCAGACATTATGAGCCCTATCGGCAGACATTATGAGCCCTCTAAGCAGATGACGAGACGACGCAGTGTGTGGACAGAGCGGCTGACGTGTACCACAATGCCCTGAAGAAGTCCGACTTCACGAGGGTCGTGGACCTCAACTATTTCTGTGTGCATGAGTGCGAACTTATGGCCTCTTCATCTAAGGTCATTCCAATCCTCTAGTGAAAAAGACGAGTCATTCTAAACCTTTAGTGAGAAAGACGAGTCATTCTAATGTAGAAGATGGAAAGGGTCACTACGTAGAAGCAAGATGGAAAGGGTCACTACGTAGAAGCAAGATGAAAAGAGTCACGACAAGTCACTACAAGGGGAAAGATCCTACTACGATTAGTCCTAGTACTAGGATAATCATAATTCATTCCAGAGTTTGTTGTTCTAGAGAAGTCAACGTTTTTTTTGTCTAAGGTTTAGTTACCTGGTAATTCTAGATTCTAGAACTATATGCGCACGTGCAGTGCTAATGCTTGCAATCCAGATGCGAAGAAGCGCAAGGAGGTCACAGACCAAACGACTCTCGTACGTGGAGCAAAGCCGAAGAAGTTGCAACTGTGCCGTCGCAAGTGTCATCGACCGGAGTTATGGAAGATGTGATTATTTTTTTTCAAGTCTGTAAAGTAGTAGTTCTACTTAGTTAGTTCTGAAAGCTGTATTAAAGTTGTAGATGGAGTCCTAACCTCATTTTAACTTAAGGACTTGAGGAATCAATGATTGAATGACAATAAGGACTCGCACCCAAGGACGTTGAATGTAACCCTCCCTCCCCTTGCACTTGCTGAACTTACCCCCAGATTGGGTATACTACTACTACTACTACTAAAGCTGAGGGTATATAAATCTTTTCTGTTATAAAGACCTGTACCCTGAGGCGTCCCGACACGACATGACATAAGCAAGGCCTCCATATCGACGGCACTCACATGACACTAAGGAAGATACATATTTAATATGATTAAAAGCATACAGACGTCGATGTGTTTTACTACAGCGTAGCTTTTTTACAATCAACATCAATTTTTTATCTTTACTACAACTACACTAAAACAATCGAGTATTACATCTCCTTTCATAAAAAGGCTGTGAGCGTGGACCGCGGGGGCGTCGAGATAAGCCAGCGGATGATGACTCGGAGGATGCGAAGTTAAGGGTTCTTGCAAGAAGTGGACCCAAGTTGCATCTATAGTGTATTTGAGCTCAGTCACATAGCAGCTACTACTTGTTTTTCACCTCCAGGTAGGTTTATCTACTTAAGATAAACCGTAAACCTCTAAAAAAGGATGGCTCTGGAGAGGAGGCTGACGGTGGCCATGGCCGCGAGCTCGGATATCAAGGGCAAAACTCGGAAAAATCGAAACCGCCGGCTCCAAAGCAAGAAGTCGAAGATGTTACGGTTACTTGTACCTTGTAAAATACTTCTCAAGATGCAAAATGAAAAAAGGAAAGTGAAGATTGAACATGGAAGATAATTTGTCGCACGCGACATAAAAACTGCACCACCTCGCGCTAGGCACATTCATTCATTCATTCAAGATGCAGCAGAAGTACAACCCTCAACATCATTAACAAAGATAGATGAACTGCTTTCAGATCCTCGTATTTCTCCTTTCCCCTTTGATGCTCCTTTTGATGCTTCATCTGCTACCAGGTTTCTCCTTGCAGATGCTTCGACATCTGCTAACACGTTCAATGATTATCAGTTTCCTTCATGATCGTTTCTTCTTGCCTATTAGACCATTTATAATGATCGTTCCTAACTTATAATGATCATCAGGTTCTTTCATGTTCTTCCGCCCTGGAATCGAGGCCGCTGAGAAAACGGCGGATAAGCTTGTCAAGGACGCCACAGCGGCTGCAGACGAAGCCATCTCAGCAGGCGGTGACGAGTGAGGAAGCGAGAATGGAGTCATCTTCAGGTGATGACGAGTGAGGAAGCGAGAATGGAGTCATCAGGTGGTGACATCTTCGAGGATGAGGACTTTTTTTTTGAAGTTGCGATTAGTCTCAACGTCATATTATCGAACGACGGAGGGCGTCTTTCAGATATGAAATCAATAGTACAAGTGCTGTACTAGGAGGGGGCGCTGGGGGATAGGAAGGTCCTCAGCGTAAAAGATGAACCGGACAGCTGTGCCGTGGTCCCGCAACGAAAATCACACACAATGCATTTCCTGGCTAAGAAATTCCTTATTTTTTCCCATTGAAATGAGTCATACTCATATACAGAATTTCTATTCCAATCTTGTAGCCGCAATTGCTCATACATAATTATAGCTCAACGGTTATAACTGGAACATTCAGACGCCGGCGACCGGTCCGAGTCCGAGCTGCGAGCGACCTGAAGGAAGGGCCCCTTTGGGACCGATCCAGGAAAAGATCCCAAAAATCTGTGTGGGTCTTCCATCAACAAAACTGTTAAACCTATGTCACGCTCTAGGTAAGTTTAGGACTACTGCCATCACACTCTTCTAAGTTTGCTGATTTGTGGTCGGTCTGAGAGTACAGCTTAATGCGCTTCGTTGGTCTGAGAAGTGCCTCCGCAGTCCTCGGTGATCGTATGAGATAAGCCTTTGTGCATCTGCCCCGTCGGTAGTCGTCGTTGTTGCTTACTTCTATGAAAGAATCTGCTTTGATATATTTCAAATACTTAGAGCTGCACCAAAATAAAGGTTTCCTCGTCGGGGAGGGGAGCTCACTGCACAGAATCCATAATCAAACCTGTAACCTAAAAATGGATCATCGCACATTACCAGGCGGAGCTGCGTTCACAGGAACAAGTACTTTAGGCACGAAGCTCTAATAGTGACTACTTTAGTAGTGATGGGTCGTTCTTGCCAGTATGAAGGATAGTGCTGTTGATGATGACACTTCATCTACAATTAAAACCGAGATGACGACGTTAACACACCTTCATCTTCGACAAAGAGAAATAGAAACGAGCGGAAGATTTAAGGTTAGTAGTAGATGAAATTTCCATGATTTTAAGTGTGGGAAGATGGAGGTGTTCTTAGACGAGTGAGGACTGGAAATTCTCCAGTCTTGCTGCGTCGGTAGCACTCTGTCTTGAGAGTGCGCCACCTTCTGTGCTGAAGCAGACTGGTAGCGCTCTATTCTCAGAGTGGGACAACTTTCGTGGTGGTGATGCTTCCTTCGCTCTTGTGGCCCATAATTTTCAGTCGGTCTTCTAAAAGTGCATACTGTGGTTGTAAAGTGATTGTAAGTTGAGGCAAATAAATCGGTGGGTTGCCACGTATACTGCTTTACTTCTAAATATTGACGAGCAGGTGATAGACGGTGAGTCGGTGTCCGCTGTGAGTCGGTGTCCGCTATTCTATTGCTTACTTCTACGTACTAGTGTTAAAAAATTATTTTCTCGAGGATAACGCCGAAGCCCGGCACGCTTTTAAGGCCGAAGCCTGGCACGCTTTTAAAACTTTGTTTTAGGTAGCTCCACTTATTTGCCCCCAACTGAAAATACTTACATGGAAATAGAAGATTCCTATTCACTAAATTTGGCTGTAAGAGGTATTAAGCGGACATGACGAGGATGACTCACCAACGCTTCGGCAAGAGGACCCTCTTCGAGTGCTGTTACGCCTTCCTATGCAAGACCCTCTCCCAGCGGTCTTAAAAATTGTTTACCTTTCCAACCAATACCAACCTGAACTAAGATGGGCAAAATCCTTTCTAAGAACTATTCAAGTCGTCCTTAGCAACTACTATTCAAGTTCGGATGGATCCACACGTCGCATACAGCAGCTACTGTTCACTCCAACATAAAAACGGGTTACTAGTACCCTGATTTAGCAAGTAGCCACTCCTGGTAGTTTTTACTTTAGAGATACAAATAGATCCTCAATGAGTACATACTTCAGAGATAGGTCCTCACGTCAGGGAAATCTTAGGCACGCTGCCGAATTGTTCAAATCATCAAGTACTTTACTGAAGGACGTCCTATCTAGCTATTTGCGCTGCAAAGTAAGAATCTTCATAAGCGTGCCAGCACTGCTCAAGTACTGAGCACCTAGCTACTGCTTCAGTTTAAGTGCTCCAACAGACGAATCCCCTCAATTTATTCAAGCCACAACTACTCAGTTTACCCCTGCTCAAATGTATTGAAGTCACAACTACCGCAGTCGAAGTTGAAACTTGAAACTCGTAGTAGAACTATAATAGACTCAAGTCATCTCTATTAAAGGACATCCTATCTGACTACTCAAGTTTTTAACGAGTACTGGTCAACACGTACTTGACAGGTAATGTTTAAGTGCTCAGCAAGTTTCAGTACTCAACAAGAGTATTCGAAAACTCAAAATAACCGAGTTACTGACTGAAATAAGGGAGGCACTAGCTTATAGCGTCAAGGCTACCTTTCCTTCTCATCAGTATCTCGCTTATTCTAAGTAGTTACTCGCTTATTTCAGTTTATCGAATAGGTTAAGTACTCCAACTTCAAAAAAATGGCGGAGAGGAAGCAACAGGTCGCCTTGAACGGCGCGCCTGTTTTTTTAGACATGAAGCGAGAGTACACGCGCGATGGCAGATCTAACGCCAAGGATTACTACAATTATGGCCTCTGATAAGTGAATAGTCAATCCTAATTAAAAATCTTTGCTACCTCTTGAATGGGTACACTACTACTACTACTAAAGGCCCAAGCAACTGAACCAACTGCGCACTTGGTTCATGATCGAAGTGTGTTGTTAGCTTGCCTTCTACATGATCTAAATTTGTTAGCTTGCCTTTACGTGATCTAGATGTGTTGTTTCATAGAATGTCATCGAAATCAAGGACACCTCAAATTTAGCTTGCCTTCTACATGATCTAAATTTGTTAGCTTGCCTTCTACATGATCTAAATTTGTTAGCTTGCCTTCTACATGATCTAAATTTGTTAGTTTGCCTCTAGTCTACGAGATCTAGATGTGTTGTTTCAAAGAATGTCATCGAAATCAAGGACACCTCAAATTTTTTTCGATTAGGTTGTTCTCTAATCTGACATGTTGCTCGAGCAACCCGTGATCGACAACGAGCTGAGACCGGAAAGGTGGCAAAAAAATGGGTTTCAAGGCCACGTGCAATACGTACAACTTTCCTACTTGTTAGCACTACTAAAGATTAGATTGCTTCTGGCGGTTGACAGCGTGAATGAATGAATGAATGAATGAATGAATGAATTAGACTATTTTTAGCACGTAGGTACTTACACCCCACGACTGCGCACACTCCTATTACTATCCATGTCTGTAGTCAAGCCTGTGCCACACGTACTTTCCTTGTTACTATCCATCCATACGTACTTTCCTTGCGATGATCATCATGTACTCCTAGCATAGTGGCGGGAGAAAACAGTTCTCACAGTGTCGCAATCAAGCCACGCGCATGTGCAGTACGTACTTTCCTTGTTACCTCCATCCATGTCCATGCGCAATCCATAATAAGGCCACGCGCATGTGCAGTACGCTCATTTCGGGGGTAAGCAATCTAAAAACATGGACATAAGTTGTACTCCTTGCAGGGTACGGGCTAGCTCTTTTTAGTCTATTCATCAGTCGCCGTCTAGGCCACGTACAGTATTCCTCTCTCAATTGTATGTAGATCTTTCCTCTCTCACAAGCCCTCTTTCCCTCTCTTGTCCTTTCCTCCTTCACTACAGTCCTCTGGATTAAAATCTTTCCTCTCTCACAAGCCCTGCTCTTCCCCTATCTTCTCTTTTTCTCCAGATCCCGTACGTCGGTCGGTCCGAGATAAGACCGGGAGAAAAACTGGTGAGGGATATCCAGGTGCCAACGTTTCCAAAGGAAATGTCCCGACCACTCAATAGGACTCAAATGGCTAGAGCAACCGTACAAATCCGAGACTTTGCTAGTGGTACTATAAGCAGCTTACTGGTTAATCTATTTTCAAACACTGTTCCTGCTGACACTTTTGAGTTGTAGAGATTTTTTAGTCTACTTCTAACATCTAAATCTAAATCTTGTTTGGACTTTTAGTACGATTTTTTTTAGGATAAACTAGAACTAAGGGACCGACAACTTGGATTATATTTGAGGTACTAGGGGACTTCTTGGATTTATTGCGAAGTACTTACTTTTGACTCTTATTTTTGTTAGTCTAGTTTGTTCTAGACGTGCAGATGCTCATCATCACTCTCTGGCTGTATCGTGCTGAACTGATTTAAACTGCTACTTAAAAAACTGACACTCATCTCAAATTTGAAATCCCTATCGCACCCCTCTTCACGACGGACTTCCTGGAGAAAAATGATCCCCATCTTCTAGACTTCTTCAAACAAAAATCATTGGAAAAAGCTGGAATTCCAATTTACCCCTCAATTTACCTCCTCTTACTTTCCTCACTGGCTACTTCCATACCGGGTCCCCACGACCTCTCAGAGAAAAACAACACTGGCCATGAGGAATATATGGCGACGATGAAGGGAAACCAAAAAGAAGCGACAAAAAGGGAGTTCAGTGAAAATCCATACGTGTACAGCGTTAAGGCTCTCGATAATTCACCTGTTCATCTAGGCTCAGATGCAGAAAGTTGTGAGTTCTAGGTTCAGAAAATTTTTAGACAATTACATCTAGAATGAATAGTGTACTGTAGTCAGTGCCACTGCCACACGTTCTTTTGCACTGTTCTCTCTGCTTCAAAGTGTTGATGGACTTTGAAGCAGAGAGAGCAGTTGCTTCACAATGGGGTGGACCTCTGTGTAAGAGAAGTCACAGGAGAGCTCTCAAAGAGAGGACTCTGCTTCAAAGTCTCTCAAAGAGAGGACTCTGCTTCAAAGTCTCTCAAAGAGAGGACTCTGCTTCAAAGTCTCTCAAAGACGGAGATGTGACTTCAAGTGTCTCTCTCTTTCTCACTCTGAACCGCTAACAGTGTGGATATCAGGCAACGGACAAAGGAGTACGACAATCTGGACTCGACGTTGCGAGCGAGGATGAGTGGTACTATCTAATATTAAGTGGAGTTATTAGTTATTAGTTGTAGACACTGACGTTCTTTTTCTTAAGAATGTAGATGTATCGATTGTGAGTGTAACATTGTATATCGATTGTGAGTACTATCTAATATTAAGCATATCGATTATTTAATAACCTCCACTTAATAGTGGCTAGTAGTTAGTCGCTTGCTTTCTCGTCCTCAAGGTTGATCATCCTTCAATTCGTCTTTTCTACTACTTGTCCTATTAATAATCAATGTGTTTTATTAGTTATAGACACTGACGTTCTTTTTCTTAAGAATGTAGATGTCCTCCTTTTCGACTGCGTATTAGTAATGAACAGAGTTCTTGGAGACGAGTACGTCTAGTTCATATTAGATAGTGGGGAGGTCGTTCGTAACCGTATTCGCAAAATATTAGATATTTATAGATTATAGATCATGTAGAAGACTTTTCTCGAACATGTAACTCACTGCCAGATGTGCGACCAGCGGGATTGGCGTCGATAAATCCAACGTTGGGCACGGTGGGCGTGACCGCGAATTTAGTCGGGAATGTTAAGGCTTCTCTTATATGTAAATGTAATTCATATTTACCCAGTCACACACACTTTCAAATGATCTGGTGGGTTGAAGGCTTGCTACTTCTGTTGATACTTACACTTTCGAATCATCTCTCTGGTGGACGTGGAGGTGGACATATAGATAAAATAAACGGAAGATTGCATTGCCCGACAGCATGAGAATCTCAATCGATCTGCTTCTCCTAATGATTCAACATTTGAGATGAAGTCATCCTAGGAGAGAGGCGTCCAAGGGGAGGTCCTCAAGAAGTATGAATCAAAACTATCTCGAGGATATTGGGTGGGATGGAAGTATATTTCTTTACTGTCTGAAGTAGATGGGTGATAAGAGCGACCTCTAACACTACAGGTCCCGAGGCCTTTGACAAGTGGAGAAAAACGACTCCTTGGGCGTCCAATCCGAACCGCAATCGGGCCTTTGACTGGGCCAACGATCCCTACAGCTTCTGAGTTACGACTAGTAAGTGTGTAGTAGTTAGCACTATATATAACCTGCTAGGAGTAGTAGCTCAAACTACAGCGTCTCAAACCTACTTCTATTTGGACCATCCGGCAACGATTCTGTTATCAGAGCTACTGCTTCTAAGACATCTGCAGTAAGTTTTGTAGTAGTAAACTGTGACTAGATTTTTGAGTAAAGAGGTGTGTAAGTAGTTGGAAGCCTAAGAATATTAAAACAGTACTAAGACTTGTTGTTTTTTGTTGGACTAAAAATGAAATTAAACGACAGCAACATTATGTACAAGTAACTAAACATCCAACATCCATGGACTAAAAATGAAATTAAACGACTGCAACATTATGTACAAGTAACTAAACATCCAACATCCATCCATCTATCTTAGCAAAAAATGACTTCGTCTTCTTCTTTCTAAAATGTGACTGTTGTTTTCCGACATCCACTTTCTTGAGTGTATGATTAAGCAACTGTGATACAACATATTCTTGGCAATGGACTTCTCCATACCGTGGAGCAACGTGCTGTATTGATATTTGTGTACCATGCGTGCCTGTGCCTACAGCGGCTAGTTAGTTAGTTACTAGAAAGCAAGGAACAATTGTACGCAAGAAACTGCTGCTGCTAGTTGTGACAGCTCGCCTTTTGAAACAAATGTATCTGAAATGTATTTTTTCTTTGCTATCTGGGCACGCTCATGATCATCGACCTCCATGGTATCAATTGTAGCTGAGGCGAGATGCTATTTGCTCCTCCATCAAATTGATAGACACAGTGGGGTCTGTTCATCAATAACAAGATGAAGCGAAGGCTTCGCAGGCTTATGCCGAAAGAAAAACAGAGAAAGGAAGCCGAGCCTTACTTTTCTGTTCAAACAAATGGAACAAAGACCGAGGAGTATCTTCCGACTCATGTGGTTACGTTGCATGCGTTCTGGTTTTCGGAAGGTTCTCACAGCGTCACTCAGTGCGTCGGCGCTTCGTACTCGTGCAAAAGCAAATAGAGGTCAGAGAAACTCTGCATCGGTTCTTCGTGCTTATGCAAATAGAGGTCAGAAAAACTCAAAGTGTTTGTCTCTTGGGTGTCATATCGGTCTAATCTGCCGGCAACAGGATTTCGCTGTGGCCCGGATGAGAGCCATCCCCGCTGGTCTACCCTTTCCCCTCATGCTTCTGCCCCATATCTTCCCTTTGCTCTCAATGCTATCCTATTCTATCCTACGCGGAGGGCCACAAAAGCTAGTATTTGTTCTTTAGCGTGCAGCACTTCTGTGCATGTCATCGTATTAATTATGTTTTTTGAATGAAGCTAGTAATAGAAGACAATACATAGCTTATTTTTGTCAAATAGCCTTAGTTGTTGAGCGTAACCCACCCCTTGATCTTCTTGTTGAAAATTTTGATCTTCTTGTTATGCGTAGCTGTGAATGCAAGCTGTGTAGGTGTGAGGTGTGTGTGTATGGAGATGCAACTTCTAATTAAAGATCTTATAGCCCGTGAGTGGGTACATCTATCTATCTAAACAGGTGCCTCGCTGAGATTCTAGTTAGTAGCCGTTCTAGTTGTAGTAGTCATCTAGCTATGTTGATGTACTACGGAAAAATGGTCCACGCTGATCGTCCATGCGTTTTTGAATACGACAAGCCCACTGGTGTACGACTGTCCTCGTGAAGGCTGCCCTCGTGAAGGCGCTCAGGAACATGCCTACTGTTGTCTAACTGTGCTTGTGAAGGCGCTTACTACTCCTAGCACCCCAGATCCAGACTGATGACCGACCTCAAATAGAGAAGATGATGCACGAAGGTACAGCTCCTGCAACTGTGGTCGAAGAAGAAGATGACGATCATGCTGGCGATGTTTGCCTTGCCAGCGATGGCACAAGCTTCGCTGTTGGAGGGCATGAGGAAGATAGTAAGGAGGAAGGAGAGACCGAGGATAAGTTAAGAAAGGGCTACAGGATGAGCCAAGGGTACTTAAGCAGGTACATCATCCTTCTTTTCTTTTGAAAAGACCAACAGAATCAGTATCTACCCTCTAGCCTTCATCTCCATAGCAACGTTGAGACTTCCTATCATCTTCTAAGAAACAGCCCACATCGGCGTCGCGGTCTGTGTACGGGTGGGGGCGGAAGGAAACGCATGACCCTGTTTGGCTCTGCTGCGAGGCGAAATGCATCGAGCACGCTGTTCGCCGACACTCGAGGACATCAGACGATCAGCTCAGCCAGCAACTCCACAGTGTATAAGTTAGGAAGCACCCATCTTCATCCCGAACATCATGACTTAGAATTCCATTTTGAATCAAGGTAGCGGCTAGCTGACGCTATCTTCTTTCTAGTTTTGTCTGCGATGCGGTGGTTATATTCTCAGAGAGTTATGTCTTCTAAAAGTCGAAAGGACGTCTTTGAACTTATAAGTAGATCCGAATATGAATCAAAATTTCTAATGTGAAACCTACAAAGCGGCTCGGCGAAAGGCACAAAGAGCGTTCATTTTCAAACGTCGGGGTCAGTCTTCGATAAGCAAGTTCCGACGTTTCTCTTCGCGCGTGCTTACGACCACGTCGAGGAGAATTCGTACGATGTTTCGCAGGTTAGGAGTCATAATCTAAAGACGCGCCTTCGGAACGTCTTCGCGTCACGGAAAAATGCGACAACCCCTGTAGTTGTGGCGGGAAGTAAGACAGATAGCAAGGACACTG